TATTCTAGCGTTTCTTATTTAGGTTTTTCAATTAACAGCAAAGTGATAATGCTAGCCCAAATTGTGTTCTTTTTAAAAGCAGAATCATATATATCTTTTTAATGTACGTATACCTACTGCTTCTCTGAGGAAATATATAATGTGCCAATACACAGAGAAAACTGGCAGTGCTTATAACATATTCTAATTTTTATTATAGTTTCCATGGAATGCTGTTATTAAATCAAAGCCATGTATGACGAAGCTTTGATAATTTTTTAACTCTTCAAATTATGGTAAATTCCAATCAAATATTCAAATCATTTTTGTATTCCTATATGAAAATAAATTATAATGCAGATATTTCAAAAAATACTAAGTGAAGAAAGTGAATTCCTTAAGAATTTCTTTTACAGTCTTAATTACAAGTGCTGTAAAATTGACATATTTTAAAAATAGTAAACTTGGTATTTTTATTGATAAAATCTTAGTCAAGACTTTGCTTGCAATTTTGATTATGTTTTTCACCACTACAAATCACTTACAATCTGAATATTTTGGATAACTCCAATCTGTCTCTTGAGTAATGAAGAAAGTGCAGTAAGTATTCTTATTCCCAGAGTCTCTAGTTTTCACATAGCCATAAAGAAGTTATGTTGCACTCAACTTTTCTTTGGGACAGGTTTGGACGGTACAAGTCTCAAGGTCTGAATACATGAGGGTTTAGATTCTTTCCTGGCCCCATTAAACAAAGATGGAAGAATCCTAGCAGGAGATACACCTAGAGTACACTGTTGCTTGGTGGGAGGATGGACTAGCTGACCAAGAATACTTGCCATTTAAAGTATTTTGTAATTTTTCTCAAGCCACTTTGTTTATTTAAAATGTGCAGACATTAATTGTAATGCAAACTGTTATACAACTGTCTTTATAACCAGGTAAACTTTGGTATAACTCTCGAATACAAATGGTACACGTTCACTTATCGCCACTGTTGGTATCCATTTGATGACAAAGCATTGACATATTCATCGTGGCTATAAATTTTGAACATGTAAATTAAATTTTCTGGGCATTTGCAAATTTCCTGTTTGTAATACTTATTTGGATTCTGAAATGTTGAAAATGTTATTTGCTAGGTGATACATATCTTTGAGCTGTTTCTTAAAAATCTAAGGGGACATGGAAAATATCAAAATATCAGACTTTTCTAATGAAACATAAATAAACATGAATAAAAGACCCTCTGCATTAAAAAGAAAACAAAAACACAGGGATGAAGTCATTTCAGAGGTGCTCAAACTTTGAAATTGTTTTCATCCATCCAAGATGCTTTGTTTTGTTTTATCTATTCACAACCGGTTGTATAATGGAAATGCTCAATACTGGTTTCCCTGCTGTGTGTGAAGTAATGAATCATTGATTATGTGACTTGTTATGTATTCTATTAAACACTAAAGAATAAAACATTCACTCCTTTAATTACTCCCTTTGGCTCATGGGTATGGATTGGCTGGGATAACGTTCTAATTTCTTTTAAGGAGTGTTGGGAATACTGTGAATACTTCCTTCCACACTGCTGTGGGACAGACTGATGGACAGTGAGCAATGCCTTCCACCACTGTGGGACTGACTGACGGACGGTGAGCAATGGTCTCAGGCCAGTAGATCTCACCAGGCTGTGATAGTCTCTTTTCTCATTTTATTGTCAAGAATGCGTCACAGGCAATCTGATAGTCATTGCAGAAGAGAAGTCTTTCACAAACCATTTCATTAATTTCAGTCTTTGCAGCCACAGTTGTGTAAGGGAAGATGGTATAAATGCCCACTTTAAGTGGGAAGGGGCAAGGTAGTAGATCTTGCAAGATTTGCCTGAGGTGAAAGTACAGTTCACAAAGAAGGTGAGGTCCTGGGAGTGTTGATAGGAACAGTTGTCTGTCTGCTGAGAGGACTGTTTGCAGCACTGTCTCCAGACTTTGAAGTGTCTACTTTCCAAAGAGGGCCCAGTGCCACCCAGACTAGGAAATTACAGAAGCTGGGTTATAGCCAGGAAGCTGTGAGCAAGGTGGATAGTGCGAGCCAGGTTTCGCCCTTCCTCTTTTGCCTGTACTTCCTGTGGGTAGCTTTTGTTTTGTATAGATAAACACACATGATTTATTTTTAAAACCGTCATAGAAACGACAAAAACCTTTGGCACTGCAAGAATGTAGCTAGGAAAGAAGACATCTCCCTTTTCTAACCCCTAGCTTCTCCCAGAGACAACATACAGGGTTTCTTCGACACGTGAAATATTAGTTATTTGTACCCCCTTCTCCTTTCTGCAGTGCTGCCTCCTCCAAGCTATCCCTCTTGTTTCCTGTGACACACGGACATGTGGCACTGATCTGTTTCTCTTTCTGATCGTTCCATGATGTTCTTGACGATGTGCTCCTGTCCAGATGGGCTGCAGCTTTTAATTTGTCATTTATTGACATGTTGTTAAGTCGAGGAACTTTTCCTGCTCCAAAGAATCTTATTTTAACATATTTTTATGAGCATGAAAATATATGTGTCTAGTTTTTATTTTTAAATGAAGTGATGTTAGTACAAAAAAGGACTAAGGTCTACAGAGTTTTTCCCCCCTTCTTCTTTTTTATTAGTTCAAATTAGGAACAAGCTTGTTTTACATGTCAATCCCTTCTCCCTCTCCCTTCCCTCACCCTCACCCCTCCTACCCTACACCAACCTACCCCCCACCCCATCCACCCTCCACTCCCCAGGCAGAGTAGGGCCCGGGCTCCCCAAAGTCCACCACATCATCCTGGGCTGGGCCTAGGCCCCTCCCCATGTGTCCAGGGCAAGAGTGCATCCCTTCACGTGGGATGGGCTCTCAAAGTCCCTTCTTACACCAGGGAAAAATACTAATCCATTACCAGGGGCCCCCTAGAGTACAGAGGTCTCCTCATTGATATTCATGTTCAGGGGTCTGGATCAGTTCTGTGCTGGCCTCCCAGACAGCATCTGGGGTCGATGTGTTCCCCCTTGTTCAGGCCAGCTGTTTCTGTGGGTTTCCCAACCTGGTACTGGCCCCTTCGATCTTTATTGCTTCCTCTCTGCAACTAAGTTCCAGAGTTCAGTTCAGTGTATATCTGTGGATGTCTGTCTCTGCTTCCATCAGCTGGTGGATGAGGGCTCTAGGATGGCATAAAAAGTAGTCATCAATCTCATTTTAGGAGAAGGGCATTTAGGTTATCCTCTCCACCATTGCCTGGATTGTGAGTTCGTGTCATCCTTGTAGATCTCTGGAAATCTCCCTAGTGCCACATCGCTTCTTGGACCTATAATGGCTCCCTCTGATATGGTATCTCTTATCCTGCTCTCCTCTATTCTTCCCCCAACTCAATATTTCTGCTCCTCCATTTCCTCCTCCTGCTCTCATTCTGCCAGCTCCCTCTCCCCTACCCTCATGCTCCCCATTATCTCAGGAGTTCCTGCCCCTTCCCATTCCTGGGGTCCATGCATTTATCTCCTAAAGTACTTCATGTTTCCTAATTTCTTTGGTGAAGAGGATTGTAGGCTGGTAATCCTTTGCTCTATGTCTAAAATTCATATATGAGTGAGTACATACCATGTTTGTCTTTTTGTGACTGGGTTACCTCACTCAGGATGGTTTCTTCTAGTTCCAACCATTGGCCTGCGAATTTAAAGATTCCATTGCTTTTTTCTGCTGAGTAGTACTCCATTGTATAAATGTACCACATTTTCTCTATCCATTCTTCAGTTGAGGGTCATTTTCCCCCCTTCTTAGGGACTTAAAATTCAGTTCTCTGACTTATGACCATTTAACTTAAGATTTTTAAACTTTGGATTATACAAAAGCATTCAGTATATACATATTTATTGGAAACCTAACTTAGAATTTTGATTTTTCTTCTCCAGATTAGCTTTGTGTGGTATGATACTGTCTGTCATACTGAGCAGTTGACAGTGATGTACACATCTCAGTCCAGTGCCTGATGATAATGGCGATGCCAATCCTCTGCAGAGCATGGTGTTGCCAAGCCATTATGTTCCTTAGTTATAGCTATTACCTAAGTCCACTTTTAAAAAAAGTTACCATGTTTTCAAACTAGAATGGGCTTGTTGACATTTAAACTCATAAATCAAAGGATGCCTACCTATACTCTTTTTAAAAAGTTTATTTATTTGTGTAAATATTTTGCCGGTGTGTAGGTAAGTGCGCCATGTGCATGCAGTTCCTGCAGAGACCAAAAGAGGATGTTGGATTACCTGGAACTTCCGTTCCAGGTGGTTGTGCGCCACCGAGTGAGTGGTGGGAACTGCAACGGCTTCTCCATAAGAGTACCTAGTGCTTTTAACTGGTGAGCCATCTCTCCAGTCCCTCTTGATTCAATATAGTGTTTGAAATTCTAGCTAGTGCAATAAATCAAGAGCAATAAAAGTGAAAACAGGGCAGGAAGAAGTGAAATTACTTCTATTTTCAGATATTCTATTCTTAGAAGACCCTGAAGATTCCACTAGTAAACCCTTTGATCTGACAAATACTTGCAGCAAAACAAAAACAAAAAACTGGATACAGAATCAAGCTGTAACAAGTATGTAGCTTTCATATGTACCAAATATTTCTTGCCAAGAAATCATAAAGCATCCAATTCCCAGTCACTTATACACGCATACATAGATACATACACACCTACTTAAGAATCAAGGTAATCAAGGAGGCATACATCTTTTACAGTGAAAATCTTCAAACCCTGAAGACAAATGTGAAATCACTAGAAGATAGAAACAGTATCTGGAGAAGTACCTTTGGAGGCCAGAAAGGACATCAGATGACCTGGAAGTGGAGTTACATGCAGTTGTGAGCCACCTGATGTGGTGACTGAACCCGGGTCCTCTTGAACAGCAGCAAGTGCTCTTTTTTTTTTCTTTCAATTCTGTATTTTATTACCGAAATACGCTGTCCTACCCACCCCACCCCGCAACAAAATTCCTCCCCCAGCCCCACACATGTACCCCGGATTTCCTGACACTGGCTGTTCTGGAGTGTGTCCATTCGGTAGCCTCCCAGAGCCTCTATGGCGAGCACAGAGTGGGTGAAGGAGCCTCTAAGAGGTGCTCATTTCAGGGCCTTGGCCGCTTGCTCATAGGCCAGCTCTATCTCCTCGTCGTCCGGACAGGTGGAGGCGAACTCTTCCCGAGCATAAGCATTGCTTAAGTACCGATGCACTCCACGGAATGCCTCTGGAATGGTGAAGCCTCTGTATTTTTTAAAAAACCACCTGTACGATGTGAAGCTTTGGCAGCAGGTTACAGTCAGCCAGGGTGAGCTCATTGCCATCCAGAAGCTTCCTCTGCGAGATGCCCTCATCTTCAGCGCTGGTGTCATCCACTTCTTCCGGGAGGGGGGATGTCAAGTAGTTAACTAGAACCTTCAGAGCTTTCAGGAGTCCCTTCTCTAGGTTGTCATTGAGTGCTGGGTTTGAGTTCTTGATGTAGGCCCAAAACTTGGCAAATATGTCCAGCCCTGAGGTGTTGGACTCAGGGTTCAGAGCAGCCAGCTTTGGGTACCTGGGAGGGCACAGCACAGCTTCCAGGAATTCCTCCATCTTGTTGGTGTCTGTGTGTACTTCGGTGCCATACAGCAGGAATGGGAGATGTCCTCCTGGGCAAAGTTTCTGAACTGTCTCTGTCCGTCTTTTGGTGTCCACGGTGGTGACGTTGAAGGTGACTCCCTTGAGCCAGAGTACCACGAACAGCCTCTGGGAGAAGGGGCAGTTCCCAATCTTGGCCCCATCACTGCCAGCCTTCACGAACAGTTCCAACAGTTCAACCTGAGGTTGATCTTCGGCCATGGCTGCGTCGGGGACCAGGAAGCAGCCGTCGCCGGGGGAGCTGGGAGGGGCCGGGCGCAGCGAGTGCTCTTAATCTTGAGCCATCTCTCCAGCCCTGATATTTGGCTTTTTAGAAGTGTATGCATGTACATGACTTAAGTCCTTTTAGGCCAAAATGTACCTAGCCATTTGCAGATTTCCTAAAATTGGCAAATTCTGGCATTTAGAAAGGTCTGTAAAGCCATTTTAGGCCACTAACTCTTCAATTGGCTCCTGAAGGTTTCCCTCCAGTTGTAGCCATTCTTTGAAAATCCCCTGAGTGTACAGCATGGACCAGACTGAGCCAATCTGACAGGAACCCAAAATGAATAATATATAAACAATACCATGATAAAGTAACTTGAACATTTATCATTAAGATAGTGGAACAACTACAGAAGTCAGAAAGAGAGATATATAAGAAAAAATTAAAACCCTACACATTTTATCTTGCTGAAGGATAAAAGGTGAAGAAGAGGAAGGATAGTAAGGAAAGAGGAAGAAGACCTGTTAAGTGCAGGCTGGCTTGTGCAGAAAGACAAGAGCTAGTTCTATGAAATAGCTTTCTTGCTGAAGCTTGATCTAAAAAACCCAGTACTACCATCATCACCACTTCCAGTAATAACATTGCTATTACCACACCTCATCAGCATCAGCACCGTTTCTACCAATACCACTACCCTTGACAGCATCATCATCACCACCATCACCACCACCACTGATAATATCACTGTCATTACTATCAGTCCTACCAACAATACTGTCACTACCATGACCCTCCACCACCACAATAATCACAATCATCACTACAGCACCCATCCTATTATTACCCAAAATATAAACAAAACAAAAAAGAAAGTAATGACTCAAGGTGTAACTGGGGTCTGGATTTCCAGTAGGCCCACAATGGTTGTCTGTCATCTTGGTGCCCTGATGGGGGATGTCCTTCTGTATATATGTTTCTAATGTGGGAAATTACCAATACAGAGTCAGGTAAAACACCAGGGGATTTAATAGGGAAAAACCTTACTTACAGAGTAACCTAGCCAGGTGGCAGGGCAGCAGTCCATACAGCAAACCAAAGATGAAAGTGAAAGCAGCTGCCACGTAAGTATCCCTCAGTCTACATCACCCTGACCACGCCCTTGCAGGAGTGGCTACAGCATCCCCTACATGTTTCTCTTATTGGTTGATGAATAAAACACTGTTTGGCCAATAGAGACAGGAAGATAGGCAGGATTAGGAGACAAGGAGAATTCTGGGAAAGGTAGATGGAGAGATACCGGGAAGAGATGCCATGTAGCCACCAAAGGAGTAACAGGTCCGGACATTCTCTGGTAAGCCAAGACCATGTGGAAATACATAGATTTATAAAATTGGGTTAATAATTAAGACAGAGCTAGCCAATAAGAAGCCCTAGCCATTGGCCAACAGTTTCATAATTAATATAAGTCCCTGTGTGTTTATTTGGGGCTGAAGGGCAGAGGGACCTGGCAGGACAAGAAACTCCAGCAACAGTGCCCAGGAAGTAGTGACATGAGCTCCTGGGGGCCAGCTTGTTAGCTTGACTAGCCATATTGGTGAGTTGCAGGTTCAACAAGAGACCTTGTCCCAGAAAATCAAGTGGAGAACAATCCAGGAAGACACCTGATCTCAACTCTGGTCCCCATATGCTCATGCACAAACATGCCCCCATATACATTTGAAAGACAACACACACACATGCAGAAAATTCTCTCACAACTCTTGACTGACATAACTCAATAAACACAAACAAAATAAGACAAAGACCCAGACTAAAACAACCCACAAAACAACTACCACCAATGAAAAATATGGAGGGAGGAGGAGCCAGTCTCAGCCAGTCTGAGCCAGTCAGAGCTAGTAAGATTCAGCCTTATTTAGCCTAGGAAAGGATCTGCATTATTGTTCTTAGGATTTATTGAAGAATTTTAAGCAAGGGTGTAGTAATCTGTGTGAAATTACGCATGTAATTCCACATGTGGGGCTGAGTGCAAAAGAAACCAGAGGCCACTGAAGAGATGATTACAGGAGTTCATGTTAGGGGTCACAATAAGATACATGCAAATCATCTGGCCAAAGTGTGGTGTGAGGTTTTATTCATCTTTCTTTGGAGTCTTTCCGATTAGACAGTTTTATATGCATGAGAACTGCTTGCAATAATGTTGGTCATACCCTGTTTGGGTGAACCAATCTAATTATTCAAGAGAAATAGAGTTTCTTATAAAATTAGTTCTTTGAGAAATGTATTTGATCGTATTTACCCTTCCTCCAACTTATTCAAACTAACACAGATACCTAGCTATCTCTTTTCAGGAATTTTCAAATTGACTAAGAAGTAGGCAAATTTAGGGACCAATTATAACTATCAGAAATTATAGAAAATTTTGAATCTCTGCTCCATACACCTTGGAGTTTGGTGAACATTAGTTTGGCTTTCACAATTCTATTAAATGTATTCATTTCAACCTTTACTAACAGTGACTTTTTTTGCTTATTATGTATATCCACTATAGTTTAGTTAGGGTTTCTATTGCTGCAACAAAACACCATAACCAAAAAGCAAGTTGGGAAGGACAGGGTATACTTGGCTTACACTTCAACATTGTAGTCCATCATTAGAGGAAGCCAGGACAGGAATGCAAACGGGGCAGGAACCTGGAGGCAGGAGCTGATGCAGAGGCCATGGAGGGGTGCTGCTTACTGGCTTGCTTGTCATGACTTCTCAGCCTGCTTTCTTATAGAACTCAGGACCAACAGCCCAGAGATGGCACCACCCACCATGCCCTTGGCTCTCACTCATCAATCACTAATTAAGAAAATGGCCTACAGCTAGAAGGTATTTTCTAAATTGTGGTTCCCTCCTTTCAGATAACTCTAGCTTGTGTCAAGTTGACATAAAACTATCCAACACACACATACATCACACACACACACACACACACACACACACACACACACCCCCAATCAGGCTAAAGTTATGTATTTTAGATGGACCTTAAGCAGGCAATCCTCCTGCCTCAGCCCCCTGAGTGACAGCAATATAGGTATGTACTACTACTCCTGGAAAAGACTGGCTTTTCCTTCTTGTCTTCAAAGTGGAAAAGATGAAGCATGCTAGCAATACATTTTAAAATTAGTTCTTTTTTGTTAATGTAACTGTCACTCTTGCTATTTACTATTTATTAATGTATTTCTGCTCTATTTCCCTTGCTGGGTAGATGCAGGGAAATAGAATCCAAGGTAAGAGAATTCTAATGTCTTTGTATATAGAAAGAAAGGGCATGCAAACTGTTTCTTGTTCTGCCCTGGCCTTTCTTTTCTGGAAAACAGAGAATGAAAAGCATGCAGTTTTGAGTGAAAATTAAACTGAATTTGGTCTCAATGGCACCTGACATTTCTTGCTTCTACTTTATGCTGTTGCCTTGCTATTCACTTATCCTTGACATCTATTTTCCCACTTACAAAATGGGAATAGGCACCTATTTCTTTATTTTGCCCCAGGGCTCAACAGTTCAGAGACTTCATAGATCACCACTAAACATTTGTGGTTAAATGAATGTTTATATTAATTAACTCATTTTTCAATGTATCAGGGAGAAAAAAATAACAGAAAATGTAACTACCTCTCCTTAGAAAATTACAGTAGCAGAAAAAGTCTTTCTACTTGTATGTGCCCATATACACCTGAGATATTATCTTTGCAGATTCATCAGCAAATACCCAAAAAGGACTGTCCTTACACCTGACTTGACAGTCACAGAGGTCTGTGCTGGACTAACTGAGGTATGTGGTGTTTTTTTCTGAATAGTCAGTGAACTTCTGGCTAAAACAGAAAGTGCTGGACAATGTCTCCACCTTGTGAGGAAGGCAAGCCCACTGGCAGCCCAGCATAGGCTTTCCTGGGGCTGTGATTTGGTACAAATTTGAAAAGCTCAGCAACAGAGTTCAGGAAGAGTAAGGAAGAAACATGTCCTTCCTGCAATGCTGGAGTGTGTGGTTCCAAATGCCCTGCTGGGAAAAGCTTTTCTCTCTGCTCAGAACTATGCATGTTCAATGTATAGTTTCTTCTTTTTTCTTTTTCTGTGACCTAATACCATAGAGGAGATGTTAGAGTTGTGGCCTCTAGCATTGGGGATGCAACACTTGAATAGTGAGTAACTGTGCCTGCCAGTGCATGCTTGGTTTGCCAACACCTAGAAGGCAGAAACAGACGGGTCCAGAGTCCAAGATGAGTTTGGGTTTCATAGGGGGACCCTGTCTCAAAAAAAGTGCTTAAAGCACACACCAGTAGTTGGACTTCATTACATTATTTTGTAAAAATTATTCCTTGGACATGTACTGTCTCCTTCCTTCTCTGTATTTTAAAAGAATTCTCAAGAGTTGTATGTTATTATACTCATATAGCTAATTCTAGTTTGAGTCAACTTGGGGTGAGCAAGGCTTGAATCCTTTGATATTTGTGTTTATACACTTTTCTTTGAGGACCTAAGAACAGGTGTTGAATCTATTAGTGACTTCTTCGTTAAGAAGATATTTGCAGTAAGAGCCCGAAGCCCTGCGTCTCCAAAGGAACTGCATTTGAAGTGCCCTTATGGAAGTAATTACTGTTAAGAGGGGTCATGCTGGCACTTGGATCAGTTAGGATTGGTATCCTTTCAAGAAGAGTAAGAGAGACCAGAGCTGTCCTTGAGCCAGGGAAGAAGAGTCATGGGTACTTCGGGAGACGGGTGGCCACCCACGAGATGTGGTCTCAGAATGAAACCACCTTTTCCCCACATAGAGCTTACCCCAGCCTGTGGACTGGGAGAAGTCTATTTTCTGTATTTTTAAAATTTTTGTTTAAATTTAAAAATTTTGTTTCTACTGGGGATTGAACTCATGACCTTATGTATTCTACCTCTGAGCTAAATCTCCAGCCTTCCTTATAGGACAGTTTTAACATCAGGGCTCAAAGTTTA